ATTTCAGTGTGCTCATCCTTGCTGTTTTGGTCTGTCTCACACCCAGTGCGTTTAAGCTTCTCGATGCGTTCAAAGTAGCACTCAAGACTTAAGGTGGCCATTCACGATCGCACCAAATGGAACCGCGCCAAGCCGTACAGCTCCATTTGGAGTGCCTGAAATTTGAGGGGGCATTCACGACCGCTCCACAGCCAGTCGCTCCGAACGTCATCTAGTGAATTACCTTCTCAAAATGGATGACGATCTCTTGTGCTACGCTGCTGTTTGTTTATATATTAAAAGCAAAAAACCGGAGGAAATTGTGTAAGAAGTGGCTCCTGAACAGAAGCCGTAATACACACATCAATTTGATGAAAGATCTTTCCCTTGAACCCGCTGATTGGAGGAACTATTTAAGGATGAATGAAACGTTTTATTTATTCATTATATTTAGTGTTCTATTGACCAAATTACTTCTTTCAATTAATCTTTTTTTGTAAGGTTTTGGTTGAAAAGAAAAGCTAGTGCCACGAGCGGGATTTGAATCCATAACCTTCGGATAAATACGCCGCTGCTCTACCACTTGAGCTATCGTGACTTCGATCCTCTCGGACACCAAAAAATGGCAAAAAGAGGGAAAATTCGAAAGATAGATTGAGATGAGAAGTTGGTGTCCGAGTGGATCGAACTATCGAAGTCACGATAGCTCAAGTGGTAGAGCAGCGGCGTATTTAGCCGTATGTCATGGAATCCCCTCGTGACACTATTTTTTCATTTCAACCAAAACCTTACAAAAAAAAGATTGTCTTATTTATATTTATTCCAGCTTGTTACCCCCTTGTTTAGACAACAAAAGACAGTCATGAGAGAAATCATCACTACATGAAAGGTTGGCAACCACATTACGTTCTTAGGGGTTATCAATACCGCATCTCTCGTTGCATTTGTATCCTTTGTTTTGAAAAGGTCGACCAACTGGTTGAGGACCGAATTTCTTTTATTTCTATCGTGGTAATCATTGTCCACCACTTTCCATTAACATAGTAAATTGTCATACAATTCAATCGACAATAAAATCTCGATTCGATCTCATTGCCAATAAAGAAGAAACGTTTTTCACTTTTTGAGAATGTAGGACGGAGATGTTTGCTCAGTGACAGAAAGACGGACACCGCCAAAAAAACGCAGGTTTTTTCATTCACGAACGCGCCATGCCATCGTCGCGCCGTAGATATTTGGAGTGACGCGATGGAGTTTGTCGGTCGAATATTCGGCACAGCCGGGCACGCCAGTTCAGTTTTGCCATTGACGTGGTTTTTGGAACGGCGTCGCTCCGTTTGGACTGCTAGGAGCGATCGTGAATGGCCACCTTAACAAAACATTACAGACTAAAACTCTGAGCAAAATTAAAGATGGCCAACACCAAGAAGTCACAGGCAACAGAGCATATCCTATGTAACTGCCTTGCAATGACAAAGAAACTGCTATGGTACCAAATTAAGCCATTTTTGAACTATGCAAACCACGAAAACAATTGTAATTACAGAAACGAAAATCTTCCGGACAAACTAATAGGAAAGCAAGGACACCATGTACGAATGATTGCAAAGTGAGTAGACCAGTACGCAGATATAAGAAAAAAGCTCACAATTTGTATTTCTGTTGTACACGATATGTACTTTCTTTTTAAATGCATACATATTTACAAAAATCAGCTTAAAAAACAACAAACTAAATAATTAATTAAGGGTTTTAGTTGAGATAAAAAAGTGTGTGGTGATTAGTGACCGTTAATCGATATTTATTTAGAAATCGTGAGATGCGGTCTGGTGTGATGTAGGTTGCAGAAAAACATTTTCTTTATCGTGCCAACGTTTCGATCTTTATTGAGATCATCTTCAGGGCTCAAAGTGTTTGTCTTCTGTGTAATTGTGCCATTCTTGCGTGTCGTGCAAAATTCAGAAATCGTGCCAACGGGCACTCTCGACACGACACGCAAGAATAGCACAATTACACAGAAGACAAACACTTTGAGCCCTGAAGATGATCTCAATAAAGATCGAAACGTTGGCACGATAAAGAAAATGTTTTTCTGCAACCTACATCACACCTGACCGCATCTCACGATTTCTAAATAAATGAGATAAAAAAGTCAATGGCACGAGCGGGATTCGAACCCACGATCTTCGGCTAGATACACCACTGCTCTACCACTTGAGCTATCATGACCTCGATCCACTCGGACACCAAGTTCCATCTCAACCCCACCTTTTGAATTTTCCCTCCTTTTTGCCATTTTTTTTATCTCAACTAAAAACCTTAATTAATTGAAAAATATTGGTCAAGCAGACACGAAAACTAGGAAACTAAATAATATCAAATCCAATGCAGCTTTATAGAGCTTTTACGCTCATTTGTTGAAATGGTCTTGTCAAATAAAATATTCTTCACCTCATATTGAATATACCAATTATTTTATATAAGATTTGATAAAAATGCCCGAACTTGCAAGTAGTTTTAAAGGCTTAATTTGCACCAGTATTCTAAGTTTTTACCTGAAAAAAAGAAAAATTATCTCTTATTTGGCCATAAAGATATTTTTCTGCAGATTTTGTATCAAAATTTAAAAAGGCTTCAATGACCCCATTTTAAAAATTTTGGGGCGTCGGTGGCCTCAACGGTTTAGGCGCTGACACCGCGCTCATCACTGTAAGGTAAAGGTCCCGGGTTCGAATCCAGCGGCCCTGCATTCGAACACGACATACTTACATATGTTTTTTTTTTTTTTTTTTTCAAAAAACCGGCACCCCGAGGGATTATATAACATTTATAAGCATTTAAAAAAGACCCCACTTTTCAGTTTGCAAACCTTTAAGATAAAATTTTATCACCAAATTAAGTAGTAAATTAATGCTCGCTTTCCAATATTTTGATCACTGATGCATTCTCATTTATAGTCATTTTCTTTATGTATAATGATTTTATTATCAACGATCAATAATAGAAAACCACAACATTCTAAATGATTATAAATTTTTAATTTGAAACATTATTGTCTCAAATCAGACTTAGCGTAAGTAACGATGTAATTGGGTCGTTTCCGATGCCTATTCTCGACGTTTCGGCTTCTGGTCTTCTTCAGTGGTCGGTTTTTGGACGGATGTGCGTCTGACGGATCAAAAGAGCGAGGCTACGCGCAAAACGATTGGAAACTGCCTAACTTCAGGCACCATCTCTCCGCGGTCCCCAAGAGATCTCACAATAAATTATGGAGTTAAAGAAAATTTTAAAAACAATAATTTTGAAAGTAGGTCTCTTCTGTGGTATGCTTTTTTTCACACTTTCTTTTTAGTTTCCTCGAAAATTTGGTTTTTGATGCCCCTAACTCTCTTCTATTAAAAAATATAGCTTTCTTTTTTGTAGTATCTAGTTTCTTCAATCAGATTTATTTATTCTTATACTTAATCAATGAAAATATATATAATTTATAACATAAAAGAGAAAAAGAACAAGAAGATTATAAATATGACGAATAATACAACGAAAATTAGAAGGAATAAACGTACATCAAAGACTGCGACCAAGTTTTAAGCAGAAACAATTAAGCCCAGGTACTTATTGTTACCTAAATTTGAATAAGAGTATACGAAACCCGAACTGAATTTGATAAAAATGAAAAGGTTTACAAATACAAAAAATAGAAACAAATAAAAAACAAGAAGGAAACAAAAAAAATCAAGCCTAGTAACTAGCGGACAATTATTGATGAAATTGCTCACTTATTACACGAACTGCAAAGCTTAATTACAAAGGAAAAAATCTTAAATAATTTCTTTAGCTGAAGTGAACAAAGAATCAACGTTTTCCTATTTGAATTAAAAACCTTTTCAAGTTTATCTTTTTCATCGAATTGCAAAATAATTTTCTCAATTTTTTTTTCAATTATAAATGAAAAGAAACATCGAATCGATAAATTTATTACTAAAAAGTGATAAATATTAAAACGGCAATTTTTTTTTAAAACATAATTAAGCAACAATAACTGCAAAGTTTGGTTAAACATTAGTATTTATGGTAATTACAAACAAATTGTTATTCATGACGAGATGGAACAAAAATTATCCGATTTAAGAATGATTTCAACCTTACTAAGATAAAATAAAATACCTGGGTGTCAGTAGAAAAGAGTTTTCTAAAGGACTTTGGAAGGCCAAAGAGCTTAAAGGATTAATTTATAATAATCCATGATGAAGCTTTCAGAGATGGCTCAGTCTTTTATCGATAAAAATTTAAAAGGCTACATTTATTGTCATTATTTTATTTCTAAACGACAATATTGAAAAATTCTTATAAATTAAATATTAATTATTGAGGATGAAAACTTGCTTCCGAAAACGGAATTGGACAATTTTGAGTTTGGTAATTTTGATTCATCTCCAACAATCAATTTTAAATCATCCTCAATCAATACTCAAAAATTGTGTTAAAAGATGAAGACTGTTTGAATATGATTTTCTCTGAGGTAAATACGATCAAATAATGTAATTGACTATTTGATCATTTTTATTTTTTGAGAAAACTTGGGTTTGCATTAGTCGTATCTGCTGATTTCATGAGATTTTAAAAGTTTATTGCAGTTTTTTTTAATAAAATTAAATAAATTAGATTAGGTGGATTAGATATCTGCAAGTTTATCAACTATTCCCACAAGCTTAGTATAAGTCTGTACTTGTACAAAAAAAATCTTTTTTCCTTGTCAAATCCTTCCAAAACAAAAACTTCCAGGATATTAGTCAGGGTAATAATTAAATCCCGCAATTCCTCAATTAAATCGTGCATTCTCGAACGTCCCATCCAATCGGACTTGGGATAAAAAAAGGCCATCCACCGGACCGCGGAACGCCCTGCGACACGCGAAAAAGTTCAACCACCGACGCGAACCGAAGCCGCGGTCGGCCGAGGCCGGAAAATGACCACGGTAGAGGGGGATCAAAATTTTCGTATATATACAGTCAAGCCGTAGCAGACCTGGTACAGAAGCAAACTGTTAGGAACTTGCAAAAATAAAACTTCCCGTACGAAGAAAATGAAGTACATCGCCCTCTTGCTCGTCGCCTCCTTCATCGCCGCCGCCATGGCCGTAAGTCAAATTTCAACAATTCCTGGGGGGGGGTCGAAGAACAATTTTTAAAATTCTTCCTACTCTTTAACAAAAATTAACCAAAACTTTAACAGTCGATAAGATGATATTCGTGATACACCTTTCAAATAAATACCTTACCAGTGGTAATATTTTTTTTTTTTTTTTTTTTTTTTTTTTTTTACCGAAGATGATAACCTAAAATGATACAATCGCACAATTTCGTAAGAAAATAAATACAAATCAACTCCAATTCTTTCAAAATCCCTTGCTTATATTTTACTGTTTTGTTCTCTGCAACTCAGTTTTGGATAATTTGCAAAATATATTAGAGCCTTGGTTTTAGATTAAATTTTGCCATTGTTGAGCCAAAGAAGCATTTCTTTTGTTGAAAAGTTTTAAACTTCTTTACTTTCTATCAATAAATTAGTCATTTAAATAATTAAACAAAATGCCAACCAAATTTCATCAAATTCTGAATAAATTACAAATAAAATTGTACAAATTGAAGAACTATTTTTCTTCCTTGCTCATTTTGCTTGAAGAAGATTTATTATTATTAATAATATTGGGGTCTTAAAGCCCTGTTTTTACCTTTAAAATAAATAAATAAAAATATATTGTAATTTTAAATTTTATCAACTTCTATTAAATATATAAATACTCAATTAATTATACACAATTTTTTCGAAATGATTGTCACAGGGGGAATACGAACCCACGACTTTCGGCTCAATACGCCGCTGCTCTACCACTTGAGCTACCGTGACTTCAATCGCCCATGCCACAAACTTCTCATTTCGACTACCCGATTTTATTATTATGTTTTTATTAATCCCGCCTGTGACACAAATTTTTCATTTCGAAAAAAATTGTGTATAATTAATTGAGTATTTATATATTGTAATTTAGTCGTTCCCGATCATTTGTTAGCCTATCCTGGCTGGTTTGGTCTATTAGGAGGATAAAGCCAATGAAGTTTCTGATAGACTAAACCAGCAAGGTTCAGGCAGATAGGAAGTCGAAAATAATAGGTTACAACCAAATTACACTTTCATTATCCCGCAAACCCCAGAACAAAAATAATTATTCAATCGTTTGATAAGTACATCCTAGAAACATTTCATTTGGCAAAGCAATTTGCAGAAATCAAAGCTAAATTTTTCAAAGTCCCTTTCGTCAACTTCGTTTTGTCCAGCAGAATATACTAAAGCCATGGCTGTAAGGCAAATGTCACCTCTGTTGGGCCGTAGATTAATTCGATTTGTTAAAATTTTTAAACTTTATTCCTTACTCTTTAACAATAAATTAATAATTTTCCGAATTAAACAAAATTTCAACCTTTTAATGACGTGGTATTTAAAATACTCTTACAAACGAAAAGTGTACCAATTGTAATACTTTTTCGTCTTTATTTAGTTTTCTTGAAGAAAAATTTGTTGTAATTTAGCCATTGCCTATCATTTTTATCCGCCTATCCTCGATGGTTTGGTCGTATTTGATGATGCATTTCAACTTTTTATCCAAAACAGATTTTTAAAAAAATAGGAGTAGCAAAACAAAATCATCAAATTTACAGGTTCATCCCACAGACCATTGCATGCCTTTCGTGGACTATGTTTTGGACAATATGCAAAAAATATTAACTGAATGTAGGGTTTTCCATGAACGAGAACAACTCGACTATTACAGATTCATATTTAATACATTTTCGACGCCTTAGGACCTACTCACATGGACTCAGATCTGGTCACCAGTTGTCCGACAACAGACTGGGTGACTGGACGACCCGAGTGGTCCTTCACCTTCATACATTTACGAATCACATATCCAATGGCCAAGTTACACGTGTTTTGATCAAATTAATCAGTTTATATTGGTTGTATTCAACCCCCTATTCATTGTCTAGTGACTCTAATGATGATGACGGTATCCAAATACTATTACCAATGCTGGGAGCCTCGGTAGCCGAGTGGTTAAGGCGTCAGACTCTCGGCTGGTAGATCCCGCGGTCGTGGGTTCGATCCCCACCGTCGCCTCTGGACTTTTTCTGACCGGTGGCCTCAATTGAAAGAAATTGACACGGCACTCATCAATGGAAGGGGCGGGATCAGGTCTCAGCGACCCTGAATTTGGTCCCAACCCCCTTCAAAAATGAGTTTCTTCGATGGAAGAACGCCGGCACACCGGGGGCTCAAATTCACACTTGTGTTGCGAGCCCCCAAAAAATGGAGCCAGGGATAAAGTACAAAAAAAATTAACTAATTAATTAAATAGTTAATTAATTAAAAAATTACCACTGATACAGAATGAAAAAAGTGAGAAAGTTGTGAATATATCCTTCGTGACTTACAGCCTTCCTCTTCAGGATATCTGCGACCCTCGAATGACTAAGGATATCTGCATAATGACTATCAAATCGAATCAAAGAACAAAAATATATTAACCCCTTGATCGAAAACAATTTTCACACTATTGGCCAAAGAATAATTTCATTAATTGAAAAATTGTCAAGTTTCTTTAATAATAAATTAATTCGCAGTTCGGTCGTAACTGTTCATTTTGGTTTGTCTATACTTTCTGGGTTTTTTCTGACCAAAGATGGCACAATACCAAAAATAGTCTAACAGACCAACCCAGTTAGATTGGGTAGACCAAAATGATCGGTACAACCAAATTACAAGTTAATTGCCTCGTAGACCACAGGAAGAAATGTCGCAATAAATAATCACTAATAAAATTAACCTAGGCTTCAACGGTTTGTAAGATGATATTTAGGAAACTAATCTATATAAATATTTTACCTATAGTAATATTTTTCTTCCTTACTTAATTTGCTTGATATAAACAGGGTGATCAGCTCATCGTGTTGAAAAAAAATTTGGTGACAATACATCTAAAATGGACTAGAATGCCGTAGACCTCATGGTTTTGTCTGAATCGATCAAAAGAATCGATGGAATCCAAAGTTATGATTTTTTTTAGTGTTTATTTAAGAAAAACACGTTTCTTTACATAAAACTTGAATTTTCTCCACTCTAACGTAACTTTTCTCAACTTTTGACTCCATTTCAGATTTAACACCGAATTTCGTTTTAGATTAGTCCACTTTTGTTCTAGAAACTGCCAGTCTACTTACAACATTCTGTTTTATAAGACCTAAGAAGTTTGTTCTTTTAAAATACTTTATTCTGAAGAAATTCTGAAGAAGAGTTTGTTTCTTTATTAATAAATTATTTCAGAATGTATTTGCTAATTATTAATTTATATGCCCGAAAAACTTTAGGGCCATGCATTTAATTACCAGGATGCATCCCGGACCACGATTTCCGAACATCAAGCTGAAATTGCCCATCAAAAAATCAAAATAATCATGGTTTCGAATAGACCGTTGTTGGTAGTTTGACATTTTAAAAATGCAATACAAACAAGTTCATCCAAAATTAGCATTTTGCGACTTTCATGACGTTTGTGCAGTCATTTTGTAAATAGTCTGGCAATTTTTAGAATAAAAGTGGACTAATCTAAAAGGAAATTCGGTGCTAAATCTGAAAATTGGGTCAAAATTTGGGAAAAGTTACGTTAAAATGAAGAAAATTCGGAATTTATGTAAACAAACGTGTTTTTCTTGAATAAACACTAAAAAAAATTTTAGTAACTCCATTTTAGATGTATTGCCCCCAATCAAAAAATAAATATATAAAAATAAAGTAAATAGATTATAAGGGATTTACGGTTTAAAGAAGTTCATCCAAAATTAGCATTTTGCGACTTTCAAGACATTTGTGCAGTTATTTTGTAAGTAGACTGGCAATTTTTAGAATAAAAGTGGACTAATCTAAAAGGAAATTTGGTGCTAAATCTGAAAATTGGATCAAAATTTGGGAAAAGTTACATTAAAGTGTAAAGAAGCGTGTTTTTCTTGAATAAACACTAAAAAAATCGTAACTTTTGAACGGATTGAGATAAATCCATGAGGTTTACAACATTCTACTCCATATAGATGTATTGCCCCCACCCAAAAAATAAATAAATAAAAATAAAATAAATAAATTATAAGGGATTTACGGTTTAAAGAAGTTCATCCAAATTTAGCATTTTGCGACTTTCAAGACGTTTATGCAGTTATTTTGTAAGTAGACTGGCAATTTTTAGAATAAAAGTGGACTAATCTAAAAGGAAATTTGGTGCTAAATCTGAAAATTGGATCAAAATTTGGGAAAAGTTACATTAAAGTGTAAAGAAGCGTGTTTTTCTTGAATAAACACTAAAAAAAATCGTAACTTTTGAACGGATTGAAATAAATCCATGAGGTTTACGACATGCTACTCCATTTTACATGTATTTTAAAATAAATAAATAACGCGATGAACTGTGCACTCTGCTTATCCAAATATCCAACGAGTGCTACACTCATTAGACAAAGTAATTTACAACAAAAAATTAACTTTAATATCCTTATAGAGTCAAAATATTCATTGCATGCCCTACATAAACTCGATTTTGGTCAATCAGCCACATATATTCTAAACACTACAGACTTATGCTACAATGCTAAACACATATAAGTAAAGTTTTATCACTTTATTAATCCTTTGTTTTTAAACTTTATTTGAACACGAAATTTATCCTAGTATAATGATATTCTCTCACTGGTAGCTAGGCTAGAAATGAATTATTTTATATTAATAATATAACAATTAAGTTACCCTGGACGTGGAGAGTGCTGATTGCAATACAAGGAAGAACACCTATCATTGCAATCTGATAGTGTCTTATAACTTGTATGCATGAAATTTTGAAACTTTATGATTGACTTGATACCGAAGTTGTATAAATTATTTTGATCTCCTGCTTGCAATTTTGCCAAATTCCATGGATTATATAGAAGCTGTTGGGAAATTTTAATTTTAAAAAATTGATACTTTAAAATCTATAATTGGCTATATTGTTATCGTTATTTAGAGATCGTGAGATGCATTCTGGTGTGATGTAGGTAGAAAAACATTTTTTTTTATCTTTATTGAGATCATCTTCAGGGCTCAAAGTTTGTGTTTTCTATGCAAATGTTCACTGTTGTGTGTCTTGTTGAGAGAGTTAGTTGCATACATCACACCAGATGGCATCTCACGATCTCTAAATAATCATTAATTAACGGTCACTAAATGCTACACATTATAGTGTTATCATTCAAACAAAAGTTTTACAATTAGATGAACTTCATAAAAACATAAATGTTGTCTAGCATACTTAGCTAAATATTATGACGAGATCACAGCCTATTAGCTTTTAAATCTGTTTTGTTGTTTTACACTTTTGTCACTTTAAACATATACTATTCAACATTATTATTTAGTTTCACCAGTTTTCGTGGTCTGCTTGACCAATTAATATATTTCAATTAATTACTGTTTTTAGTTGAGATAAAAAATGACAAAAAGGAGGGAAAATATAAAGGTGGAGTTGAGATGGGAAGGTGGTGTCCAAGTGGATCGAAGTCACGATAGCTCAAGTGGTAGAGCAGCGGCGTATCTAGCCAAAGATCGTGGGTTCAAATACCACTCGTGACACTGACTTTTTTATCTCAACTAAAAACCTTAATTAATCAGTAAAAATTGTTTTTCCGTATGGTTTTACTATGATTCCCCATCTGACATTTTTTTTAAAGAAGTGTAACAGCGTTAAACAAATGATGAATGCGAATTATTATAATTTTTAGTAGTTAAGTTCAAATTTTAAAAAAAAACTTTTTTAAATTAAAAAAATAAATAAAAAAGTTCAAATTCGTATTTAGGAATTTTTAAGTTGACTTTGATTTCCTCAATTAAATTTATTCAACCTGTTACAATAGCAATCTTCATAGTTCAAACAAACTTAGTTTTCAGTAAGAATTAGCATTAATATTTGTTTTAAAAAAAATTGTTTACTGTGTTAAAATGAATCACATCATTTCATGTAAGATCAACTATATATAAATTCTATATTTTCTATATCGAGTTAAAACGAATATTTTATAAATTTGCACAAATTTCTTTTACTTCTGTTAATCTTTTGTTTGATATTTTACAGGGTGAAGCAAAGGAAAAAGTTGTAGAGATGTTCAACAAATGCAAAGAAACCCACCCAGTCTCCGAAGGTGAGCAATTTTAAATTACAGTAAAGGTCCATCATTCTAACAGAATCCTTGTCCCAAATTGGAAACTTTGTCACTATGTAAATTGAACAGCACTGCACCCGCCTGAATTCATTTAATCCATTGTTTTGTCACGTTTGATCATTGTATTCCGACCGCCAACCGTACGGATTTTTCACATAAACATATATTATCCTATTTATAATTAAAATGTATTTAAAAGCATCTACGTTATGTATCAGAATGCATATTATAATATAAAATACCAAAGAATCGTTACTTTAAAAAAATGAACAGAATCAAGCGAGAAACTAACTTGTTTACTACAGTTTAAAATTGTAAAACTTGATTTTCATTGTCCAAGAATGAATACAGTATAATATTTTAATTTTTTTTTATTATTTTGTAGAAGAAGTTGAACAATTCAAAAAGAAGGAACCTGTTCCTTCCTCGTCTGAAGCCAAGGTAAATAAAGGCAATTATTAGTGAAAAAGATTTTATTATTCTTATAATTATTGTGTGATTGTAGTGTCTCATGGCTTGCATGCTGAAAGAAGGAAAAGTTGTAAGTAATTTTAACTCCTTGTTTTATAACTATGCGGCGAGCTTAGTGCTAATTGGCGCTTTTTTTATACAGCTGAAGGACGGCGTCTACTCCAAAGACAACGCTTTGATGTTGGCTGACGTTCTTCACAAAGAAGATCCCGAACAGGCTTCTAAAGCAAAAGAAGTTATTGAACACTGTACCAAAGAAGGTTAATTTATTTTCAATTTGTTTTTATTTTATTTACTATACGTATATAATATGACTCATGTTATGTTTTGATCTTCAGTTGGAACTGAAGTTGGAGCAGATGAATGTGAATTCGCTTACAAAATGGCAGTTTGTGGATCAGAACACGCTAAAAAAGTAAGTGAAATAAGAGTTATGTCGAGCGAATAAAATACTTATTAATTTTTATTGTTTTAGCTTGGAGTCAAGACACCTGACTTTTAGATCAACATAGAAGCAGCATTAAAGAAAAATTAACAAAATAAAATAATAATTTGGAATACCAATCACCATTACACAATTTCATAGGATCAGTATAATCAATATGTGAATCTTATTTAAATAAAATTGGCCTGCCATATCTTTCAATTTTATTTTACATTTTCTTTATTACCTTCTTCCCCGCCATCATGAAAAATAATGTGCAAATAATTGTCAGTAGTCAATGCTGAATTACAAATCTTAATTATCCACTCCGACAAGAGTTTGTGGTACATAATGCATGGTGAAATTATATAGATAGATAATGATGCTTATTTACAATAAAAATTATTTTACAAAAAATATTCCGTACATAAAACATCTTAGACAATAGCCCACGGGCTGTCTGTCGAGTTGCCAAAAGAAAAAAAAACAGAATAATATTAATAAGAAGAATAACAATAATAATAATATGGTCAATAATAATCCAAATTAAGAATTTTAAAAAGAAAAAAAAAGAAAAATTAAAGCTTGGATGGCAATGGGATAAATTAGTTTACGAGCTTTATAGCACTCAGAAGAGATATAGCTAACCTAAGATAGAAGGTTTGGATGTTAGGGCGTGAAATGACCTTAGCCATTAAAACGCCCTTAAAAATTAATAATAATAATAGTCAGCAAGACATTGGAAGCCATAATTAACAAAGGGTTAAATTGGTTTATTGAGAAAAAAGGTCTGTACAGTCAAGAAAGCACTTTTGCTTTGAAGATCATGTAGCGCTCCTTGAAAGTGCTATTCAGAACACTTTCTTGGAGAGAGAGCATGCTTTAGATGTCTTCTTTGACCTGGAAAAAGCATACGATACGACCTGGAGATTTGGTATTCTTAAGAAACTCTATGATTGGGGTTTAAGAGGGAACATAGCTAAATTTTTAAAAAGCTTCCTCGAAATGAGGAGATTCCGGGTGAGATAAGGTACCGCCTTATCTAGTACGTTCATTCAAGAAAACGGGATTCCTCAGGGTTCGGTTATAAATGTCACTTTATTTGGGATTGCGGTAAACGGTCTGGCTGATAATATAGATCACCGTATAGTCAGGCCTTTATATGTTGATGATCTTTGCTTTTACTTGTCTGGGAAAAATTTCCAATAGGAAGGACATTACAAAACGCCAATGACACATTGTCACGAAAAGCAGATGATGTGGGTTTCAAATTCTCTTTGTCCAAAACGGTATTTGTACACTTTTGTAGACTAAGAAAACATCATGAAACATCTCGGCTTTTCCTTTCTGGCGTTGAAATAAAGGCAGCCGACGTTGTCAAATATTTGGGCGTTTCTTTCGACAAAGCCCTTCGATGGAAACTTCAAATAGCCCAATTGTCTAATTCAGGAAGGAAAATACTAGGTCTGATGAGATTCCTCGCTAATTACAATTGGGGAGCGAATAGAGACATTCTTTTAAGACTATTCAGCATGTACTTAGGAGCAAAGTTTATATAGTCTCTGCAATGAGGCCGGTGTCCTTCCTCCGGTACTTTTCAGGGAGGAGGCAATTCTTAGGTTTGTTACTAGACTTTGGTCTAAGCCTTTCCATTTTCTATTTCCCTCAGTTTTCCGTAATAGTCATAATTTACAATACTTTATTAATAATTGAAATTATCGATTAGGAGCGCTCTGTATTTTAGGGAGTACAAAACATAATTGTAGAGAATTGCCAGTTCTGCCCATTCAAAAATTACTTCATTTTTCTGAAAACGATTTGCCAAATCACCTACGTCTGAATTCCTTCAATATGGGGCACACCACCAAAAAATGGAAGCCGTCCTCGTACACACCTAAATTACACAAAGCGCAACGGTACGCCTCCTCATTTCTTTGAACCGATTAATTAAGAGGCAGCAGCTGACCTCTTGCCTTCATTATCACACTTATCTTATTCAAATTATATTTTTTTATTTAAATAATGATGATTTTCTCCTAATTCCAGATTCAGCTCATTGTCCATGGAAGACAGAGCGCTGTGCTCTTAATTTTAGTTTATTTTTAAAGTCAGTTCTCAAAACATGTACCAGGCTTTCCACACTATTTTTATTTAAGTCGGAGTGACTCAAGGGGTTTTAAAAAAAGTTGTAGACATAAATTTTCAAATTCTTTTGCCCAAAATATTTTCTTGTATAATATTTTCAAGGCCAAAATTCGGGGAAGTCTAGCAGAAGACAATGATAAAACTTTTTGGGTGTATGTCAGAATGGGTTAATCCCTGCTTCTAAATATAAGACCTATATATAAAATACCTAAATATAAAAAAATGGAAGCCATCCTTACACACCTAAATTACACAAAGCACAACGGTACGCTTCCTCATTTCTGTGGACCGAGTAATTAAGAGACAGCAACTGACCTCTTGCTTTCATTATTACACTTATCATATTCAAAATATAATTTTTATTTAAATAATGGTGATTTTCTCCTAATTCCAGATTCAGTTCTTTGTATAAACCATGGAAGACAGACCGTTGTGCTCTTAATTTGAGTTTATTTTTAAAAATCAATTCTTAAAACATCTACCAAGCTGTCCACACTATTTTTATTTACTTCGGAGTAACTCAAGGGGGTTAAACCGTGTTGTAGACACAAATTGTCAAATTCTTTTGCCCAAAATATTTTCTTGTCTAGTATTTTCAAGGCCAAAGTTCGAGGAAGTCTAGCAGAAGACAATGATAAAACTTTTTGGATGTATGTCAGATGCAGGCTTAATGTGTTGAAAAAAAATGGGTCAATCCCTGTCTCTAAATATAAGACATAATCAGGTGTATCCTTTCTGAAGAAAAACAACCTTTTGACGAAATATTTATTCCATTTCTCCATGGTGTCATACCATTTATAGCCCCAAACCATCATCGCCTTGGAAACAGAGTTAAATAAATTATATTTTGCTGAAATGGGAACATCACTATTGACAAGAGAGACTTCCAAGTAGAATTAATAACAAATTTGGCTACATTTAATTTTTCTTTAAGATGTATTTCCGTCGCAAGCTGCGGTGTGATATATATACCCAGATATTTATAATGGTTCACAATCTCAATATTTTGTCCAGCATAGTTCCAAACCTGTTTTCTCCCAAGCCTACCCCCTCAGTGGAAGACCATAATTTTTGATTTGTTTAAGTTAACAAACAAATTCCATAACTCGTAAAACTTATTAATCATTTTCTGCAATGTACAGGGCTCCGTTGCTAATAATACAGTCATCTGCATAGAGCAAACAACAAACATTCAACCCATCAATACGCAATCCACCGCCTACAAAATCACATAGTTCATTGATATATAACGAAAATAAAATTGGAGATAGTAAACAACCTTGCTTTAGCCCTATGTTTGTCTTAAAAGCATTTGAAAATCCCTCTAGATGGTGAAATTATTGATAATAAATAAAAAAGTAATAAGTATTATTTGCAGTAGTATGCAAAAAAGTTTCATATTAAAAAAAAACTGTTATTTTTGACCAAATATATTTAAATGAATGAAAATGTAAGCATTCACAATAGTTCTAAAAAGCGTATTTCACTTAGAAAGCCTGTAGAAACATAAGATACTGAATAAATATTTGGCAACAAAAATTTGGAGCGGTACTGGCACTGTAAGTTGCACTGTTTTCCAAACTTTTACAATTTTCCTTCCACTTTCAAATTGTATTTTTCAGTATGTACTTTAAATTAAATCCATTGCAAGGAAGCAAGTGAGGAGGCTGTAAGCCCTGTGAAAATCATAGTTTTTCTCTTAGATTTCAGAAGAAGAATGCCTTCTTTCTATATTCTGCCATGGAATATTTGGGGATTAAGGTGACTGGTCTATGACAAAGAATAAAGGTTGATTGTAATTATTCTGTACAAAAGATTGCAATTCCACTAATGCTTCTCAAATAAAAGTTTGTGTTACTTTCTATTTGAGTTTAAGTATAAATTCAAAAGTTCAGCCATAGTTGAGCTAAACTTTGAAAATGGGTTGGTAGAGAAAACTTCAATTTCGCTTGGAAATGTTTTGTCATAACTGATTTCATCAACTTCCCAGCAAAGTGTTACTCTTCTCAAACATGTCGAAAGACAAGTTAATAAGTCAGTGGAAAAAATGGTTTACTTTCAATAAATCGCACTGAGTTCTATTCAAAATAGAAGCACATTTTGTTGGAAAAATACTCAACACTTTCTTTATGTGAAAAGTGATAATAATTAGCAGAATATCAAAAACATTATGATGAAATAGGTGAAGTAAAAAATGATAGAAAAAAACATTAAAGCTAATCCAATCAGAATACATTATGAAGATGCTAATTTTTCAACATTTTGTATTAATTGACGTCTGAGTTTAATAAAAATTTGTGATAAAACTTCACGATGGTGATGATTTTTAAAATATAAGTTTTGTTAACATATTAAATATGGTGAACAAAAGCATATTATTAAAAAATTAAATCTTAATTTAATTGGTATTCACCTAGAAGTTGAAAATACTAATTATTTTAAGAGAATTCTATTGTCAGTTTAATATATTTGTGTTTCTGGAAAGTCAAGTGGAATCAAATTTTTTCCATCTCAAGTTCTTAGTTGTCAAATTTATTTGTTTAAAACAATCAAAAATGTTTCAAATTTGCAATATACTTATACAATATAATATATTTCAAATATGCAAATTTATGCAATATTCTTAAAATATGCAGAATAAATATTGAACAGAGGTATGATTTTGATAAACATCCAATCAACATGATCATAAGGGTTAGCAAAAAAAATATGCAATTGCACATAAATACAGGCTTCACTCTCCAGATTAATACCTGAATTACTTTAAAGGAAAACTAAACTGATTTTACCAAACTTAGGCACCAGAAGTGGAGCTAAGGAAATAGAAAATTAGAAAAAGACCAAGAAAAAAAGACTCATCTTATTTTAAGACATAAAAGATCAATATTAATCCTCATTACCAAGGGAGGTGAGCGTAAGGTTAACATATTCAGCAAGAAAAATAGTTAAACAAGGAAAATAGAAAATAACATAGAATAAGGTTATAAGGCAAAGTATAGAAGACTCTATGAGTGAACTTGTTGAAAATAGTGCCTTACTGCACAGTGATTGTAACAGAATGTATATTGCAAGTTTTTGTCTG